AGGAATTTGACCCCGTCTGGGACTTAGAGGCTGTTCAAGACACCACACTGTAGGCGAGGCTCTGACCATGCTGCCGCAGCTAGTGTAAGAAAATCTGCCAAGGAAACTCAAGAAGGCAACAACCTGCGTGGTACCCTTGGCTTGAATGCGACAGGAATCTCGTTTCGATTAGTGGAGAACCCTCACTTCTAAGCCACGTTTGACTACCAGTTGTCATCTCGTCGTCAGATATCAGGGCGACTACTGGATAAACTTTACGAACGTGAAAAAAACCCGGATGATTGTGCTTTTTTTTTCGAAGCTCTTATTACCGATGGTTGGACGTATACGAAGGGAGATGGAATTACCAACTTTGTTTTTGTTGACCCGCGAACACCACCGATTTTCTGGAAATCGATCAATACTAAGCTGAAGTACATTCCGCTGAGTATATTGCGAGTACGATTTGGACTACAATCTTGGAGTTTGAGGCAGAGATCGGTAAGGGGAAAGTTTCTGCTGTTGTAACAGACAATGCATCAAACGTGAAGAAAGCTTGGAGTCTAGTTCGAAAAAATCGCGTCCGTATGGTATGCACCGGGTGCTCAGCACACGGCATGAATCTGTTGATAAAAGATCTTTTTCAAGTTCAAGTTTTTCGATGATGTCCTAGCAAAATCTAAGATTCTGGCTCATTTTTTTCAAAGATCGACTGGGACTGTCATATCGATTTCGACGGATGCAGAAGGCGTTGAGGAAAAACGGCGAGAAACGTCGACGTCTTTCGTTATCTATACTTACTCGGTGGTACATTCACGAGAAGTGTATCGCCAGTGTTTACCACAACAAAGACATTCTCGCTGCGATCTTTTCAGATACGGCTTTGCTTAAGAGCGATGAAGGCGATGCTTGTGATAAAGCTCTTGCCACTTATCGTGACGATGAATTTTGGCAGGAGGCCCAGATCGTTTTATCGCTAATTGAGCCCATTAGCAAGCGTCTCGCAAAATTTGAGCGCAATAACTGCACCATTTCACTTGTTTACAACCAGTTCGAGTGGCTGCGTATGCACCGGGTGTACACGAGAACCTTGCCGGATTGTAGATTGGAACTTCAGGAAGATGTATTGGCTGTTATAACTAAGCGCCAGGAGAAATTTGCTCAAAGGAAATGATAATGACGAATCTCCTCGACCACACCAAAACAATGTATGATAGCGAAAATACGGACACAAAAATAATGATTAACGCTTCCAAGGAACTTGCCCTTGAGATGGAGCTGATTCCGGATGCGTTGGGAGACGAATTTCACGCACAGTTGCAAAATTTTAGAATCGCAAAGTCGGAATGGATTTGGAAAACTCGTGTCACCATCACTGCTACAGCCTATCAACTGGTAGGCACTAGAAACGTCTAGAGCGTATCACTTAGTGCAGAAATTTGCAAAGTTGATTTTGTACGTCCCAACGTCTTCTGCCACCAGTGAGCGAAGCTGGACTATTCGTGCGTTGATTCATACCAAACTGTGGAATCGGCTGGCGTCAGATCGTG